AGAGCATACATGTGTCCCGTGTAGCTTCGATTGTGGGAAGCAGGACCGAAGTACCAGAATCTCCTCACGAGTCCAAGCCGCCAAGACAGCACGTCACCCATCCAAAGGAATCTTCATGACCCAACGATTTCCTAACTTCAACTGGGTGTAGTACGTTTTGGCTCAAAGTTTGACCGATGAATTGCAATCCAACTCCCGAAAATTGTTAACTCTAATGAAACACTGATCATAATCCGAAAGATTATGCAATAACTCTGTGATTTTATTTCAGACTTATGTCCTGTGGGTTGAAAAGTTGTTTAACAAACTATCATTTAAATCTTGACACAGTTCACTATTTGTTACGAGGGGAGGGGCGAAAGAGAGGAAACAGCCAGGTGTGCAAAAAAAAGAATGGAGACGGCACATACAGGTTAATGAATCAAGGACTTTGTCGGCACTTGTGCAGTTTCACGGCCCCGGCTGTTCCTCCCTTTGTAGTCCAATTCGTTAAGAAAGTGAACTGTGTCAACATTTTAATGATTAGTTTGTTAAAACAAATCCATTATGCATTTTTAGGTAATAAATTCTGCAAAAAAAAATCACAGAGTTGGTCTGATGCTATGATTATGATTAAGTGTTTCCATTGAATAGTCTATGTTTAGTTGTTTTCGCGTTAGATTGCAATTCATCGATCCTGGATTTTGAGCCTCAAACGGACTATAATGGCCGGGTGATTTCGACCCACGCTCCATCACAGGGCATAGTGTAGAAGCTGTGAAAATCATATGAATAATTCCACTGAACATCAGTGATGACACCAGGTGTTCGTAAAGAAGCAGTGTTTTATGTGCTCCTCAAACTTCCTGCATTGCATAAGAATCGTTGACCTAACTCTTGCAATAAATTGGAGTTCATTTCAAGCAAAATGAATCAAACCTTTTGGTTTGACCATTACCACTTTCGGCCTGCTTTGATGGTGGTGGTGGAATTGGGTTTAACGTCGTGCTTGAGAATATTTCAGCTCATATGACGACGTGCACATGCATTGTGTATGTGTGAACGTGCGGCTGCTTGTACTAGCCCAGACTGAAGCTGGTTTTATAGTGCTATCCCACTGAGATACCAGCGCCGCAGTGAAGCATGAATACCCCCACTGAGACACAGTATGCACTGACTCCAGAATAGTTGACCAGTCCTTGTTGTACCCATTAATGCCGAGAGCGCCAGACAGGGACCAACAAGTACCATATTTTAACATCTTTGTATGACGTAATGGGGATCGAACCACGCGACCTTCCGCTCTCCGGGCGGACGCTCCTAAATCCACTACACCACGGAGGCGGTCTCGGCTCGTTGAGCATAGCATAAGTTTGAAATTTTATATTGAGGCTAAAGGCAGGACTGGATTGGTCTTCGTCCCGACACCTTGAATCTTTGTTCCTGGTTTCAGTCACTGGTCTGTCAGTGCTCTGAGTAGAAGGATACAGATTCACAGTACTGCTTTTGTTGCAGTTTCATTCTGGGATCTGAACCACACCCTCAGAGTCAGGCACCTAATCACCAGCACACAGTCAGACGCCTTACCCACTCAGTCACCGCGGTTTGACAAAAATGAAAGTCGGACTACTGGTAACCTTTTGTGGAAGCTCTCGATGGCTGAGCGGGATTTAGGCCCGACTTTGTGTGCTAGTGATTAGGTGCCGGACTCTGAGGGCGATGGGTTCGAATCCGGATGGGACTCCAACCCAACAAAAAGTACTAGAATCTGTTCTTTACTAAGAAAGTGTAATCCCAAATATAACATATGTTACATTTGACCACTTTCTAAAATGGCACTTCATTTTATTGATAGAATATCGCTGACTGTGACGATGTATGCACTCGCGTGCAAAATTGGTAGAGTAAGGCAAACGGTCACGTGGATGAGTCCACATCACATTGCTTTCTAACTTTGTAATGAGGAGGCTATACGTTCTACTGTCAGTTTCATATAGTTTACTGACCTGTTTTAAATTTTATTTGGGACTAACTTTCACCCCATTCCGCCGTTATAGCTGGACGATGGCGCAGGACGGAAAAGCAGGTGAATGGTGGCATGGATCATCCTGAAGGAAGTGACGTCACTGGTAATACTAGCCAGGAGCGCAAGGGTCATCAAAACACGTGAAAAGGTGAGATTTGCGTGAAATTTGTAATATTTAACTATAATTCAGTTATCGATTCTACATTATATTTTTTAGTTTGCTTGTTGTGCCATGACACATTATTAAAAAGTGGTGAAGATATATTTGTGATATTGATTATTTTTCAGTTTTAACATATCGCGGAAATATGTAAAGCAGAAGAACTCACGTGATTGTTTGTTTTATTTGCTTATCGATATATTCAGTAAAGAAATGCACCTACATGGCGGCGGTCTGTAAATGGAAATCCCTAATAACTAAGAGTATTATTGTGTCCATATCAAAATATAGGGCCTTACATATTCTGATCAGGACCCATAACCCTTTATGGTTCTGTGTCCTTAGGGGGCCTGCAGCTTTTCAGGGTTAAATCACAGAAACACTGATCTTCTGGGGAAGATGACTTTTATGATTGGGGAAGATGACATGTATGGCTGGAGGATGATGACACGCATGATTGGGGAAGATGATATGTACAACTTTCAAGAAGGAAAGGTGTCATCACTGTTCCTAAAGACATCTTATGATACAGCCAGAGTCGTACAATCGTTTTCCCTGTGAAGATGTTTTGTAACTTTTAGCTCTTAGGGGACGAAGTGTACCACTATCATGGCAAACTGATGATGAAGAACCACCCCAGTCTGAGTGAGGCAAATTTGTCTGGCATCAGGACTACGGGTAGGAATCATTTTAGAACAATAAAAGGATAATGAAAACCTTTGGACCGCGTCTTTACATAGATGCGTCTCTTGTACGGATGGTGATGGTCGTTCGTTATGAAATGCCAACAGAATATTTTGGAACAATTTATCATGTTCTTTCTTCGAAGAGTGTCGAACGGTTCCGTTTCTATAAAAACAAAGTTGTTGTTGGACCAGGGTTACAGCTTTTTATGACTAAAATGATTTCCAAAAATTCCTTGTTTGGACTTGAACTCTGTAATTGACATGGAATACATGTGTGCCATGAAACTGCCTTCGCCTGTGTTTGTGATTGATGAGACGCAGGTATCATAAAGGTGCCGCTGTCACTGTATCGAACTCAGAAAAACTGATGTTAGCAGGAGGTTTATGACTGAAGAAATCTTTATCACTTTCATGTACTATCACAGTTTCCATATCACGCTCCTTTGGTAAATATGTTGTTGTTTCTAATCCACCCTTGCATTGTCTTTCCAAGGTAATTTGTCTCCCAATATCTAGTGTGGTCCAGACATCTTTTGTTTTATAAACATTCATTCATAGTGTGCCGTGATATAGCTTGAATATAGCGGAGATCTGATTGACTGACTGGACTGACTGGAGTTTGCTTTACGCCGCTTTTAGCAATATTCCAGCAAACATCACGGGCAGGGGGACAATTCAGAAATGGGCTTCACACATTGTGCCCATGTGGGATTCGAATCCCTGGAAAATTCGGCGTGACGAGCCAACGCTTTTAAACCATTAGGCTACCCCACCGCCCCGGAAATCTGATTGACATGAGTGTAGTACGGCTCTTACGCCCCTTTAGCAATCTACCAGGGGAACTCCTTGACATGACAACACGATGTTAGATGTATCCTTTCTGCCAGGTACTGGTACTCAGAACGGGAAACCTGTACCCCCTGACATGATGAGTGTGTTTTGTGGCCATCGATCAGGCGCAATACCGGAAAACGGATGTCTCAGGTATCTTTGACATTCTGGCCAATGATGGTAATTTTCATAGACACCATACAACCGGGAATGAGTGTGATCACTCGGGACATATGAAACCAATTCTTTACTTCCTACGCACATGGTATTTTAACACCGGCTAAACGTTCGTGAATCTATTTTGTGATTTGTTAAATGGAAAGACGTGTTCGGTGCGACCAGTCTCAGTTTTCGCACAGTTTTCATAAATGTTCTATGACAACGGCGTTTATTTTATGAATCAATCCAAAGTGGATACAACTCGATATGAAGGATTTCACTCTTTCTTCGTTCAATGAAATTCATTATTATTATTATAGGATATTTATAGAGCGCACATATCCACGCACTAGTGCATGCTCAAGGCGCTGGTATTTTTCCCTCGATCATTGGATGTCAATCTCAACGCACATCGCATTATCAATCCTCAACTCCCTGGGAAGTATACAACTTCTTGCAGCCACTAGGCGCACCGAGTTATTGTGGCTTTCCTCATCCCTAACGAGGTACCCATTCACGGCTGGGTGGACTGGGACACATAGTCACAGTATTTTGTCCATGTTCACTGCACGTTGCTGTACCCCCCAACCAATTGTTTGCATCGCATTCATGTGGCCACCATCTGGTCAAATACCAACGGCTTCGTGGGTTCTTTTAAGCGCACAGGGTTGTGTACTGTACACTAGGGATTGTGACAACACTGGAAAGAGTCTTCTACACAAACTTGACTCCAAGGTTTTCACACCCGGTCACAGGTGGGCCTCGATCCCGACACCCTCAACCTCGCTGGATCACTTAGCCTGGCGCGCCCTTAGCCAGCTCGCCCAATCTGCGCCCCGCTGTGTATGAAACTCCCTCGAGTGAACCCTCTCATCAATGATGCGTGGAACCTTCTGTAGCCATATGTGTCTACAGCAGAAAGACACAGTCCTCGTCGCCTTCTTGGAACCAAGACAGTTTTCAAACAAGTAAGCATTGTGTCAATGCATAAAGGCAGCGAGTATAACATAATCAACCACACTGATGTTTAAGCCTAAGGATACCAGATATGTCTGAAAAACGATGACCTGTCGTGTTGTCCAGGTAATTGAAGGGGCTCCCATAAGTGTGGATTTGGATTGACCACTGCGTTGTTGGCGGCCAGACTGGGGCCGATTTAGAAAGAGTCAGTCAACTGGAAAACTGTGTGCCCCCTGAGTATGTCGAAATGGAACCGGGTATGTTGACACTGTTATCATCAGGTCGAGACTCCTATTTAAACTTGACAAACAATATTTTTCCAAACTATCCTCTTACAAGTGTTATAAACATATTACATACATAATGATATTTAGAGACAAGTCAATATATAAATGCATCAAACAGTTAATGAAACAGGAAATTGCATTTACTGACAAAATCAGCCACAATTAGTATTCATTTGGGCACTGTGGCATCAAATTGAAGCTCTTTATGTACAGTCTGAAATCATTATACGAGGTAGTGTACATTATGCAAGGTAGTGTACGTAATAGCAGAGTAGTGTACATTATAACAGGTAGCGTACGCTATACGCGAGGTAGAAAGTACTAATATAATGAGTAGCGTAATGCTATAAATGGCGGTATGCGTACTGCTACGAGGTGCAGTGTACATTCTACGAGGGTAGCGCAGCCACCATAATGAGGGTAGTGCACATTATACACGAGGTGGAAGTGCACGGTTATAACAGGTAGTGTACGCCATAATGAGGTAGCGTACATTTTATTATGCAGTGTAATGCTATAATGAGGTAGTGCATTATCATGTATATGAGGTAGTGCACGTTATACCAGGTAGCGTATTGATTAAACCAGGGTAGTGTATCGCTATACCAGGTAGTATACGCTATAATGAGGTGGAAAGTATTACTTTAAGTACCAGGTGAGTGTACTTTATACGAGGGTGTAGTGTACATTGCACGAGGGTAGTGTACATTATACGAGGTGTAGTGTACATTATAACAGGCAACGTACATTATACGAGGTGAAAGTACATTATACGAGGTAGTGTACATTACACGAGTGAGTGTACGTTATAATGAGGGAGTAGTGTATTACTATACGAGGTAGCGTACATTATACGCGGTGAAGTACATTATAACAGGTAGTACGCCGTTATAAGGAGGGTAGTGTAGATTATGCTTGGGTTTGTGTACATTATAAACAGGTAACGCATTATTATAATTAAGGTAAGCGTACATTATACGAGGTAGTGTACATTACACGAGGTAGTGTACGTTATACGAGGTAGTGTACATTATACGAGGAAGTGTACATTATATACGCGGTAAGTGTAACATTATACCAGGTAGTTGTACGTTATACGGAGGGGTAGTGTACATTATACCACGGCGGTAGTGTACATTATAATTTATGTGGTGTACGTTATACGAGGTAGTGTACATTATACAGGTGCGGCGTACATTATACGGTAGTGTAACGTTATACGAGGTGGTAAGTACATTATAACGCCAGGCAGTGTACATTATACGAGGTAGTGTACATTATACGGGAGTGCAGTGTACATTATACGGGGTAGTGCGTACATTATACCATGTAGTGTACATTATACGAGGTAGTGTATCATTTATACGGAGGTAGTGAGGTGATGGCGTAGGCATTATACGAGGCAGTGCACATTATAATGAGGTAGCGTACATTATACGAGGTAGTGTACATTATACAGGCGTATGAAAACATTATGCTGCGGTAATATATGTAGTGTATGATTAGTACGCTGCCACTGCAGGGTAGTGCACGTTATACGAGGCGGTGTGCATTATACCAGGTAGTGTACATTATACGAGGTGGTATTACATTATACGGCGAGTGTAGCGTACATTATACCAGGTAGTGTACATTATACCAGGTAGTGTACATTATACGAGGCAGTGTACGTTATACCAGGTAGTGTACATTATAACCAGGTAGTGTACATTATATGAGGTGAGTGTATACTATACGAGGGTAGTGTACATTATACCCGGTAGCGGTGTACAATTATAACCAGGTAGTGTACATTATACGGTAGTGTACATTATACCGGGTAGTGTACATTATACCAGGTAAGTGTACGTTATACGAGGTAGTGTACATTATACCAGGTGTAGTGTACAGTATACCGAGGTAGTGTACATTATAATGAGGTATTGTACAGTGACATACCGAGGTAGTGTACATTATACGAGGCGAGGGCTATAGTGTGGCATTATACCGAGGTAGTGCACGTTATACCAGGTAGTGTACATTATACCAGGTAACGGTACATTATACCAGGTAGTGTACATTATTCGAGGTAGTGTACGTTATACCTTCCTGTTCCAAGGGGACGCCCTGTTCTTCCACGCCAACCTCCTGCATAGCAGCACTGCAAACAATAGTGACAGAAGACGCTGGGCTTACATCATGGCCATCAACACCAAACACAACAACCCTGTGAAGAAACACCACCATCCTCAGTACAAAAAACTGGACATTGTAAGTACCAAGTTGAAGGATAACGATAGGTCAACACTCTTACGAGTATGATACACGTACCGGACCAAAGAAAGTGCGCCAAACAACACGTGGTCCGACAATGAAGCCAACTAGAAATAGCTATTCGAGTGGGTAATGGCTAATGATACAGCTTTCATCGGGTGGTCGTGGCTCTCTGACTTAGTTGATATTAATGTCCTCGGTTCCCCACTGCGCAGATCCATCTCCATGCCAAGTTCGATCACTGGATTGTCTGGTCCAGACTCGATTATTTACAGACCGCCGCCATATAGCTGGAATATTGCTGCGTGCGGCGTAAAACTAAACTCACTCACTCACTCTTATCAGCACTTGATCAGTTCAGGTTTTCATACCACGTAGATGCAAAACCATTTTGTAAATTTATACTATCATTCAAAATTTAAAGGTGTTGTTGTTTTGTAATAGTAAGGACAAAGAACTTAATTTGGCTTTCGACGAACCTGTTTTTAAATAATACTTTTGAAAATGAGTGTTAGGTGTTATGCGCATGAGTGTGAAACTTGAGCAAAACGTTTTATGAGACTTGAATAAAACATTTCCCGGTCCAGGCTATTGTTTAACACCACACTCACAGCAACATTCCAGCTGTATGGCAGCGGTCTGTAACAAATCGAACCTGGGGCATTTAGTCCAGTGGTGATTGACATCCGCAACTGGGAGAAGGATGACATGCATGATTGGGGAAGATGACATGTAAGGATTAAAGGACACATGTACGATTGGGGCAGATGACATGGGATTAGGAAGATGATATGTATGATTGGGAAGAGAAGATGACATGTATGGATTGGGAGAAGATGAAATGGAAAGATGACATGTATGATTGGGGAAGATGACATGTATGATTGGGGAAGATGATATGTATGATTGGGTATGAAGATGACATGTACGATACGCATGATTAGGGGAAGATGATATGTATGGATTGGGGAAGATGACATTGCATGTATGATTGGGGGAAGATGATATGTAGGATTGTGGAAGATGACGATGGAAGACGATAGGATTGGGGGGAAGATGATATGTATGATTTGAAGGAAGATGATATGTATGATTGGGGGGAAGATGACATGTACGATGGGGAAGATGATTGGGGAAGATGACATGATATGTATGGATGGAAGATGACACGTATTGATTGGGGAAGATGCATATGTATGATTGGGGAAGATGATATGTATAAGGATTGGGGGAAGATGACATGTATGATTGGTGGAAGATGACATGTATGATTGGGGAAGATGATATGTATGGGATTGGGGAAGATGATATGTATGACGATTGGGGAAGATGAGATGTATGATTGGGGAAGATGATATGTATGATTGGTGGAAGATGATATGATGATGTATGTATGGATTGGGGAAGATGAGATGTATGGCATGGGGGAAGATGGATGTAAGGATCGGGGAAGATGACGTGCATTGGTGAAGTCAGCAAGCCCGAAGACGAATTCCAGACCAATAGAACAGTTGGAGTCTTAAGAATATAATACTTAGTCCACAAAGGAAAGATGCATCGGTACTGAAGGACGCCAACATTGTGTATGCATTACTTTGTATTCTGTTTAGTGCTTAGTAAGAACATGTCTTATTTCAGTTCTTCGACAGGCGCTGCGATACAGTTGTTCGTGAGGCATATTCCAGTATCAAAATTGTGTAGATCGAGGCTCATGATATCAATCACTGGTTTTCCTGTCAAAATCGTTTATTTTTCTAACCTCCACATACAGCGAATGCTGTTGAGCAAAGTAACAAACAGCATGTGTCCACCGTGCCCCTGGAGGTGTTCTTTGGCCGTTTTCTAGTAGCAAAACCCACTGTTAGAGCCGATGACAAGTGCAATGGTAGTCTTTTCAGCCTCTGTTTATTTTGGTCAAGATTACAGGCTACTATATTTCACAACTTTTCCCAGGTCGACGATTCTGCTCTGAAGGCTTGTGAAAAACTACTACGACATGACTGGAAAGACTTCATGAATCCTGCGACTTCAAAACGATCAAAGCGGAAACTTAAGATGCCAATACAGTCAACCTCTGTTATCTCTTCAGGGACATATTGACACAAAACGGTCGTGTGGCTGGTGGGTGCTTTAAGGTGTAAGGTGTAAGTGTGGATATAAGTGTTAATACTGCTGTTGCTAGTACTTCTCCTCGCGCTTTGAAAATAAAATCAACAAATTACTGCTTCACGGCTTGGTCAATATATCTACATATTTAGCGTTTGCAATCAAATTTGTATGAAAATATATAGCTCATAAATGTGTGTTCTGTTGTATACAAAAAGGATGATTTCAACTTTCCAATAGCCAACTTCCCTTTCATGTCGAGCAATATTCCAACAACTCCACCCTCTGGTGTTTACATTTCACAACTTTTGAGGCACAATCGAGCGTGGTCTTTTTATCGGGATTTCCAGCAGCTTCATGCCACTCTTGCTCAGAAGTTGTTTGATCAAGGTTACAACATCCAATGCCTCCGTAAAGCTTTCAAGAAGTTTTATGCTAGACATGTGAAGGAAATGTCCAAAGTTAATGCATCAGTGACAAAAATTATGTCCGATGCAATTTCCTTATATCATAAGTTCTCGAATTATTTCGGCTGAACAAATGACTAGACTTAGCATATGTTTATGACGGGTGCCACCGGTGGGGCAGGATACGCTCACCTTTTCGCGAACACCTGGTATCATCACTATTTCATAGTGATTCATAAACACATCCTCTTTCATCGTATCGCATGGTGACAATCACTGGATCGTCTGGTCCAGACACGATTTGTTTTCAACCAATATCGTACGGCTGTAATACTGCTGAAACAAAAACATACTCATGTTATAGTCACAATTGTGCAATCGACTCTGCTTTTAGCAGACATTTCTTATGGATGCGGAAATGGTTTCGTCGCTTCTATGATACGTGGTTTCCTCAATTAATTAGAATATCGTTTTGTCTTTAATCAATTTTATATTGCACAATGCAGCCATCAAAACATACAATTTGGAATAATACTGAGTACACGGCTTTTGGCAATATTCCAGCAATGACAAGGAAGGGTGACTCACCCATTTCACCCATGTTGGGAATCGGACCTGTGTTTTTAACGTGACAAGAGAATGCTTTAACGACGATGGACCGCGGCAGATAGACTATTAATTAGATCAGAACGACAGGGGTCACTAGAAATGGGTCTCACATATCGGAATAAGATAGCAGTCGAGAGTGTGTGAGTGATTGGGTGAGCTGTTTCTGTGGTTGAGTGAGTGTGTGGTTGAACGGTTGAGTGAGTGAGTGAGTGAGTGGAGTGGGTTGGTGAGTGACATAATGGCAATTTATATGTTGACCACTTGTAGGCGAAGCCCTCAAGCACAGATATGTTACTAAGAAATTTAAACACTCGTGGATTCGTGGTTCACCTGCTATCATACGACTCTGTCGCATCTAAGGGACATAACTCTACACAGTCTAGATTGCGGCTCCTCAGAAGTCGAAGTTGATGATCCAACATATCATATGCCAGGAAGAAGCACAAATGTGTTGTATCAAAACAATTGCTCCATCAGAACCATATATAAAGCATGATTATAGAAAAGGCATACTGTCACAATTCCCTTGAACATACGGGTGTTGTTTTTCTGATGAGATAATCCCAAGATGGGGACCTCTGTTTCATGGAGCTGCTGTTGACGTCGATGCTGTGTAGGAGGTTGCAGTGAGTGAGTGACTTTAGTTTTACGCCGCACTCAGCAATATTCCAGCTATATGGCGACAGTCTGTAAATAATCGATACCGGACCTGACAATCCTGTGATTAATAGCATGAGCACCAATCTACGCAATTACGACAGGCGTGGGTTACTGATGATCAATTCTAACCCGGATCTTCACGGTCTTGATGAGCAGAAAAGTACTTTTATCAATATGGCGAGCATTAGGTTTTGTACATTTACAATTTCAGTAACATATATTCTCGTTTCATGGATCCTTGTCTGCTATCTCCAAGTCATCTACATGTCGGCAAGTAAATTGGTCATCACATGCTTCATCTCTTATCCAAAGTACATGTCACTGTTATATCTATTCACCCGGCTCCTCTCATCATATCTGAAGACATTTGTACATCGTAGATACGTCATATTCTGACCCGAATCCCGAAGATAAAAAAATACTATCCAATCCTCATCAGTCGTATCTTTCAACTTTATGCAAGGGCTTCAGGATCTGCTGCGGAATCCCAAATGTTTCGATCACTTTCGAACTATACACTATCACCTGGGTCCATCTCTATATACTTCTGTGGGTCCATCTTCCTGATTTCCGCAACCCTCTCCAAGTCCGCCGCCCAACCCTCACCCCCCGCATCCATCATGATGATTCAGGGGCGGATACAGCTTTTGAGAAAGGGGGTGGGGTGGGGTGGGGTGGGGAGTGGTGCACACTATTGAGAAAAGGGAGGGTGCACACTTCATTTTCACCCGAGTTCCAATGGTCATTTAACAAAATTTCAGGACAAAAGGGGGGTTGGGGGTGCACACCCCTGCACCCCCCTCTGGATCCGCCTATGTGATTGTTGTGGAGAGGCATGTACACTATGAATGAACCTCCCCCCACCCCTTAAAATTTATGTACAACTAAGTAAACTCACCTGCATATCATGTACAAAAATCAATGACGCCGCCCCCCCGTACATGTGTACAAAATTGATGACCCCTACCTCCCTAGAACAAAATGGGTGACCCCACTTAAAATCATCATTACCCTCCCTGGCCATAAATTATGAATGGTCTCTAAGAAACACCTTTCAGACATGGCCGTAGTGTAGGATACATATTCTTGCCGACATATGGAGATTTAACGAATTCTGTTATGAATGCCTTTTTCGCACATCGGGAAGGCTTGTTTAAAGCATCAGTTACAGTTGTTTTATTAGCGTAGCCACTAAGTGACAACAAACGGCCGTATTGTGCACTTTGACTTGAAAGCATAAACCTTTGTACAATATAAGCTTTAACCATGGTAACTAGTTTGGGTAACTACCATGGTAAACAAAGTATACCAATATCAAAAGGATAAAATGAAAGAGAAGTACAATAATATAAAATATGATAAATATGCAAGAACAACTTAAATCAACATGTTCAAAATGTCTACATCTAAGGATATTTTGGCGGCCATCTTGGATTTGGCGAAAACATTGATTGGCTCTATAGCGATAAATGCTTGTAAGAGAAAGCCAAAAATGTATCAAATTTATGCATTTTAACCGTACAATCCCTTACAACCCGAGAGTTATTCAAATTCGGCATTATTGGTATCTGGTCAGACTTATTTCAAACGTCACCACCTTCAAGGTGAGTGATGAATCTCAGTTGACATGTTCCTTGGCTGAAGTCCTAGCCGTAGAAGGTTGACAACTCCAAGTTCAGGCGATTGTCTATCTGCTTTGTTCAAGGCCTATCTTATACTGCAAACAGACGAAATGGAAGAGTTACAATGACTCATACCCTGAAACGCAATGCCTTCTTGGTTTGTTTGTACTCTGATGGCCGTAGTTGTTGGTTGATACCGTTAGAGGACCAGGCAATGTAACAACAAGAACTATTTCTAAATGTCTTTTGTATAACATTTCGATTGTGACGAGTATAAACAATGAAATGTTCAGAACAAATTGGGCATCCAATGTTAGAAACTTACTATTCAGAAACGGGTTTTCTCATGTCTGGTTAAACCAGGGCGTTGCTAACGTTCAGCTATTCATGTATACTTTCGAACAACGATTGAAGGATATCGCCTACCAAACTTGGCACAACGAAATCAACAGCTCTGCCTTTTTCCGCCATCATTCACAGTTTAAACATGAACTTTGCCTGGAGACCTACATAACAGAACTAAAATATAAACATCTGATCCGTGCACTTATCAAGTTTCGTATTTCGAATAACAACTTCAAAGTGAACATGTACAGACTTAATGAGGATGCCCCACGTACGAACTATTTGTGTTCATTCTGTGATGCCGCAGAAACAGAAACTGAGAATCATGTATTCTTCCGAGGTGACAAATATCAGCGGTACAGAGACAGTTACTTCAAACAATTACAAAATGTCTACAAAGGCCCACTCACTCTGCCGTCAATTTTGCAATCCAAAACCCCCAAGTCATATACTGCATAGCACCATTTTTACATTATGTTTTTATAGTAAGATCCTAATACAAATTATGACCACTGTTTCAAGAAACTGGCAAAGTTTGTGACTGTATTATAGGCCATGAGGCCGATATTACGAATAAACTTCTGTCTGTCAGTGAAATGATGCTAGCAAGAACCACTATGTCAATCTCGACAACCCGGAAGGATTCCAGGCGACTGCAAGTCCCCAACAATCCATGGTGCCGACCAAACCGATCAGGTGGACAGGAGCCAGGATTTCATGTGTCTGAAGCACATTTGTTAAAGATTTGAGGACATTGTCATTCTTACAATGCACTCAATGCATGTCTGTCAAATCAGCAGGAGATTATATTGAGCAAGATTCAGCAAAGATGTCTTTGGCCAACATATAGTTCACTCAAGATTAAACGACCTCTGACCATTTTGTTGACTGCCTTTCCCAAGAATCCTCACTTACTGTAATGAATTCATGTTGTAATTTCGTGATTATTCTGCTACTGGTGTCTTTATGTTTATGTGCATACATACATGTATCGAACCCAGATATCGAACTCAGATAAACGCAAGGTCGTTGTGTGATAACATATAACCTTGTTAGATAATGATTCAAGGTCTCTGTAAGACCGTTCAAAGTGTTACGTAATATCACTCAACGTGTGATGTCCGAACAAAGATGAAGCTGCTGCTGATCGTTGCTGTCCTCACCGTTTCAAATGTCTGCACAGGTGAGTCCAAATATGATAAAAATGTTCATATTGTTTTAGATTTTAGGAAAAGTAAAATT